TCCACCGAAGATCTGGTCAAAGGCCCATTACCCCAATTCGCCTATCAGGTCCATCTCGCTTCGGGCGAAGTGGAAAAGAGCGTCAACGATGAGCAGTCGATCAGACAATTTCTAAGTGGCATGTATGGGGCCAAGGGACCAAACGGCGAGGTCACGTTCGTTCCCGAGAAGGGAATACTGGTCGAAAACTTGCCAAAGATCGGTGAGAGCAAGATTCTGAATGGAAAGGTACGTGATGATCTCTTATGCTGGAACGCGTGTCGAGTGCGGGATCGAAGGGAAAGAAGAGTACATGATTGCCGTGAGAGACAAATGTGTTACCTTTTGAGGGGATGCTATGGGGTGGTTACGTCGCTCGACAGAGGCATTGCCGCTTCAGACATGTCCTGCATGAGGCGGGAAAGGGTGCCAGAAGATCGACTCGGCTCGACATCAAGATCGTCCCGCGCGAAGCACATGTCGAGATCGATCCATTGCATCACCTTGTTTCAGAAAGACAACTGAAGGATCTGCCAACAATCGATGGTGTGCTAACAGCGAATCAGTACCTAGACTACTACGTCAAGCAGTACCTCAACCACGGGATCCACCCCACATGTGAGTCCTCCCTCCCCAACCTACCACTTATCCACCCTACATCGACCCATACACACCACTCCAAGCTCAACCACTAACCCCTCAACCCAGTAAACTGGTATCGCCAACGCCGCACGAACTGGGAAGAAGACCAAGCGCTGCTCGACAAGAAGATAATCAATCAACCTGTCCTCTTTATCCAAGCCACGCATGACGGCGTGCTAAAGCCCGCAATGGCAAAGAGCATGGATAATTTCATTCCTAAGCTTACGAAGAGAGAGGTGGAGGCTGCACATTGGGCGTTGATCCAGAAGCCAGAGGAGACGAATGCTATTATCCGCCAATGGCTTGAGGTGGGGGGCCTGGTGGGGAAGAAGAGGCGGGAGAGTAGTCTGTAGAAGGGGGTTAGAGAGACGGAATGTTGAAGGTCTTGGGATAATAATTGACCCGTCTCTTGAGTAAGTTCGTCTAGCTTGGAGTACTCAAAATCTCACCATGCTGCCCAGCGAGCGGTGTATGCCTGATTACTCTCTCCTGCCCGTCGACCGAGAACGGCGTATCATAGTTTACCGGGTATGACTGACAGGCGATGGAGATTGCGGCTCTATCCGTGCTGGTGGCCTGACATGTGCCTCATGGCTTCCTTGTCCACGCAGCGATATCGCATTGCGCTAGACAAGCACACGAAATCCTTTGCTCTTCTCCGATGTGGAGTCAAAGCTGACCGTTGAGTCTTGACTATAGCTTGTCCAAGATAGCGGACCTTGATACAAATTTGACGGTTGCTAGAGACGGCACTTGATCGGTAAACGCATGTGTGCGTCAGCGTACAGATACTTTGTTACGTTGAGACATGTCTTGACGCCGATACTCATCATCGACTGCAAAGGATCCCGCGGCGGCACGTTGTGTGGATACATGACCTGCATCTCTTGCCTGATACCCAGGTACCTGCGGGCCATCAGCACACCACCGACTCAGCTCTTCCTCTTCAATCTACATAGTTCTGCTTCGCTTACGATCAACGGCAATTGTCAAGTACCTGTAGCTCAAAAGTGAAGCGCGAGATGTGTGGTGGTATCTCGGTATCTCCGGAGGTTCTAACCATAAAAGTACCGGCAAAAGTAGTAGTAGATACGCCGCCTTGGAATTTTGGCACCGGGTTGTTCCTCCGAATTCTTGTCCCGCCTTGACTCAGGTCTGCGGATTAGCGCTTCTTGATATTCTTCCACGCGAACTTCATGGGCAACAAGATATTTTGGTGACAGAGTGCTCGAGACTTTCCTGGTAAACTGTTTGGAGATTATGGCGGATGCAGGTCCCCTCCGTCCGTGCGCAATCCGGAGTTCTGGTACCCACTGCGTAATACAGCCAGTCAGGAAGCGGCGTTGTGCATTGTGGCAACCTCGTGGTCCTGAGTAGGTTGCGACATGCAATGCTTTTTTTGCGACACGATGTCGATACGGAGAGGGGCTTCCGCACACTCCGCAGCTTGTTGTGGGCGGGGTGGTGCGATAGGGGAAACGGTACCTCTACATCCGACAGACCGCCTGTCTGAGGAATACGTATCCTTAAGCCCGGGGTCATGGTGGTTGGATGCTGTGGCGTAGGCAGCTTTGTGGAAAGCGAGTAAGGTGAAATTGCTCACCGCCGCGGCACCGTCGTGCAAGCGCTTGACATATATTTGACGTAGATCGCGAAAACGTGCTCAGGTTGACAAAGGCTTACAGGAAACTCTCAAACCGGGTATGATGGTCTTCGCTCACCGCCTACTGCTTTCAGAGGGCCATGCATGAGGGTCGTGGAGTCGGTCGCTTGGTGGAGCGACATCCCGGTGTTCTTTTACGTTCACAGACAGGGTCTATAGTAGCGTTGAATATGCCTGGGGCGTTGAGGTAGACGCATGCGCAGTGCGAACGAGAGGTACCTTGCTTATCAGTAGGGCCATTATTCTATTGCATCTCGTAGCTCGTCGTGCCGGAGCTGGGAGCGCACTGGCTGGATAGGTACATTAGGTATATTCGTTAGTCGAGTCCTAGGCGCATCCCGGTGTGCAAAGAAGTTAATCTCAACACTGCTGGGCATGCTCGGATCCACCATGGTGCTCTGCCGTGCAACGTTTGATGGAACAGAAAATGAGTGGTCGCCAACGTTTGTTTTGCCGTCCCGCTGCTGCAGTTTGCTCGGCAGCGTACCAGACGACGGTGGTTGTCGAATGAGAGAGCAGGTCGGGCGGTCGGAGAGATACGTAAACGCTTGTTGCGGGTCGGCTTAGTAACGACATCTCATCTTGCTCGTGGCCGCTTCCCTGTCAAGTGCTGGGCCTGCCATGTACCCGCGATCACCGTTGTTCCTCCGAATCCTTCACCACCGACACTCGACCTCATTTCTCGGTCGAGATGGTAGATCTGGGACGGCATTGCAGCGCGCTACCGGTGCTTCTTCGCCATTGTCATGCAGATGCTGGCACATGTCAATTTCGATGGCTTCTTGGTGGCCACACCTCGGTCAAAGGTGCAGCTGTTGACTATTAGCTATCCCTTGGGCCAGTCGTTCGTGCAGTTGGCGTTGAGGTCGCTCCGATAAGAGGCCCTTGTACTTTCTTGTCCCGGCAGTTCGGTCGCGCGTAGGACGAATTTCGTCAATGGGCTGCTCGGTAGCCAAACCATGACCCATGCCCACCCTCCAACCGACATTCAGCCAACGGGTCTGCTACCACACACACCACAGTTGCCCCAGGAGGATCCCGCTAAGGGGCCGCACTACGGGACTGATTCCATGCTCCCCAGAGTAGTCCAGGCTGGAGGCGCACCGTTGGGCGTGAGCCGTTTGCACATGGGCAATATATCCGGGATTTTATATTGCAAAAGTGACTTCGGGAAGTCTTCTGGAATATCAGCCAGATACGCTAGCCAGTCAGCGGTCGAATTTTCCCGTCGGTATGCAGGCCCTAAGAATCCAAGATTGATGATGCACCGGGGGCAGAGGACGACTTATGGTTTGAGCTTTGGCTTAGCGGTAACGACATGCTAACGCCGAGACAGGACAGCCTGCATATCAGGCTGATGTTTCGCGCGTCCTGCTCAGGGATCTGTGGTTCTGCAGGGCCACTACAACCGACAGGTTCGCTGCCGTAAATCCCAACACAACCTTTGGCAGCGGGCTCCACAGCCGTGCAGTGTGCCTTATCGCTGTTTCACAACGCCGGCGGGTTTCTGATAGACGGCCACTACACAAGACAAGACGTGTTCAAGATACACACTGCGTTATGACATTGCTCCTATATCGCATCTTGCGTGTGCACGTCCCGGAGCTATACGGTGTTGATCCGGCAAAACGAGTCTAACAATGCTTGAGTCCCCAGATACTAGCTCGCTGGGCGAATAACAAGAGCTCCCGGTCGTGTACCCACAAGAAGATCTAGCCTCATATATACACACAGAGTAACGGGATAAAGAAAAGACTACGCGAGGCCTACCGTACCAAGTAGCTCTGGTCGCGCATCCCTATCCATGCTCGTCCCGCCAGTTTGATACGCCTAGCAAATGACGTGGAACCTTTGAATCTTCCCTCATGCGATGCCATTATCTCGCCGATGCACCAACCTGAGGCAAGCCCAGCTTGTGCCAGGCCACCGTTGATCGAAATGGGCCTTCTCAACAACTATATCAGCCTCCACGCTCCCGTGGGGTGGGCTTCTGTTAGCTATCTCTTCCTCACTTCTTCCCGCTCCATTGCCACCATCCCCCATACTACCAAAATTTTCTCGTAATGGCTCCCTCAGCTCTCGCAGATATCTATCCAATCCCAACGAGGCACTACTCCAAGTCCTCGACTGTCGTAGCTTCGGTCTTACATGGGCCAAGGGATTTGCGGCTCGTATGCCTTCCAATTTCGTTACACATCCCACGTCTATCCACTACTCGTGGGGGTTTTGGTGTATATTGAGCATCTAAACGTGAAGCTAACGAATCCAATTAGGAAACTCGTACCATTACGGATCCCGCCGCCAATGAACTACAGATCGCTATCAAGGCCACTGGACTGTGCGGAAGCGATTGTTCCTACTACAGCAAGTTCTGCAACGGTGATCTGCAGGCTTGCGAGCCGTTGTCACTAGGCCATGAGTCTGCTGGGGTTGTGGTGGCCATCGGCGAGAGTGTTACCGGCTACCAGATTGGCGATCGTGTTGCTCTGGAGGTAGGTGTGCCGTGCGACAACTGCAGGTCATGCCAACGGGGACGTTACAATCTCTGCCCGAAGATGAGGTTTCGGAGTAGCGCCAAATCTGTGCCTCACTTCCAGGGGACGCTTCAGGAACGCATCAACCATCCAGCGAAATGGTGCCACAAGTATGTCGTGCATGATCGACCCGAAGCCGAACTTAGCTGACAACTTAAATCAGACTACCTTCGCATGTTTCCATGGAATCGGCTGCGCTTCTGGAGCCTCTTTCTGTTGCCATCCATGCAACAAGAAGAGCCCAGATCGAGCAGGGTGACACGGCCATTGTTTTTGGCGCAGGCACAGTCGGCCTTCTGACAGCTGCGATGGCCAAGGTGTCTGGCGCCACAACCGTTGTCATCGCAGACATCGACTATGGACGAATCAACTACGCCTTGGCGAACGGCTTCGCCCACAAGGGCTATATCGTGACCCCGCAGAAACATGGCAACGAGACTGCTGAGAAGTTCGCCGTAGCCAAGGAGTTGGCTGCCGATGTTATGCAGATTGCATCCCAGAACGAGCCAGACTTTGAAGGTGCTGATGTCACCTTTGACTGCACTGGAAAGGAAATCTGCATGCAAGCTGGACTATACGTAAGTCTCTCCCGGAAACAATCGCAAACCTAATCCTGATTTCTCGTAGGCGACAAGGCCTGGCGGCAAGCTCATCATGGTCGGAATGGGTACGCCAGTTCAGACACTACCCATGTCAGCATCTCATCTGAAGGAGGTCGACATCATTGGCATCTTCCGCTACGCCAACACCTACCCCACTGGTATCAAGATCCTGTCTGCCGGTGTACTTCCGAGTCTTGACAACATGATCACTCACAGGTTCCATGGGTTGACGTCGACAAAGGAAGCTTTCGAGCTCGCCGGCAAGACGGTCGACAAAGACGGCAAGCTTGTTCTCAAAGTCCTCGTCGAGATGTAAAGAAGCGAACGGCCCACGAAACCACTAATATGTACATTGAATTGTGTGGCATTCATAACGACGTGATAGAAACAACATAGAGAGATCGTCCGAAAGGCGGCGACCGCGGTCAGGCGTTTTGAAAGTCTGGAGCAAGACTAAGATACCATTCGCTTTTGGGTTGGATTGGATTTGGAGTTATGGAGTGTATTTGGCGATTGACGCAAAGATCTGGAGGCTAGGCCCGACCATGAATGATAATGCCATAATCGTACTCCGATGATAAACGCTCGCTCCGGTTCGTGATGCTTGATTCTGAAGTCTGAGAAAGAGGAGTGTAGTGAAAGCCAAATGATGACGGATCTTTCCTAAGGAAATCGCGTCGCGCTGCAGTCGCGTTGACACTAGCTCTGAACGGGTAGCGCCTTGGCACAACCCCACGAATTGTGGCAGCTGCAGCCTAAGCAAGCTCCCCACCAAGACCATATCATTGCAATTGCCTTGCTGTCCGACTCCCACTCCGACTTCCACCTACTATCTCGATCATCGCGAACCTTCAAACGCTGCACCAAATTATACTGCAGCAAACATGGCCGAATCATCAGGAAATCCACTCGTTTCGACCACCCGCGCCTCTGACGCAAGTCCGACAGTGCAACTTCACCCGCTGGTACTCCTCACAATAACAGACTGCGTAACACGGCACACACTACGACAGCAGACAGGACCAGTAGTCGGAGCTATACTAGGCGCGCAAGATGGTCAGAATATCACGATGGAGGTTGCTTTCCAAGCAAAGCTCCTGCCAAACCAAGACGGAGAGACAGTACTAGACGACGAATGGTTCAGCAAGCGTATCGAAGACTGTAAGTTCTCGTCTATACCTCATATCTCCACATCTGAATGAAGCTAACCTGAGTGTAGTCAAGGACGTACACAAGGAGCCACAATTAGACATTGTAGGCTGGTTTACCCTCGGTCCCGCCTCCGGTCCAGAACCTCACATCCTGCCTATCCATTCGCGCATATCAGAAGTCTACACTGAGTCTCCGCTCCTCGTACTCTTCCACCCAGAAAATGCCTTCTCCAAAGAAACCGCTGCCGGAAAGCTGCCTCTCACCGTCTACGAGTCCTTGTCCGTCAACACAACGAGCGATCCGAACGATAAGGCTATGGATATCGACGGGGCCGTACAGGCAAAGTCTACCAAGTTCAGAGAGCTAGTATACTCGATTGGGACTGGCGAGGCGGAAATGATCTCTGTCGATTTCGTCGCGCGGGGTGGTGGCAACGCTACTGCAGTAGAAGGCACAGCAAACGTGGCCGGTGCAGCGCCGGAGCCCTCAAGAACCGATGAGGTTACTGGGAAGCGGAATACACGAGGAAAGCAAAAGGAGAAAGAGAAGGAGAAAGAAAAGGATGCGCCCATCGACGAGTCGGTCATCTTGAATGCAGACGACGAAGAAGGTAGGTTCAGCCGCCTAAAGTTTTACTTGGTACAGACATACTAACCTTTGTCCAGTTCTCTCTTCGCTTACAGCCAAGATGAACGCCATTCGCATGCTCAGCCGACGTATCATGCTCCTGCGCGCATACATCGACTCGCTGCCACCATCGTACCTCTCCGACCCGTCCCTACCCGTCAACGCCGCGCCAGACGCACAACATCCCCTGCCTCTAGACCACTCGATCCTCCGCAGTGTATCTGCCATGCTCGCCCGCCTGAATATCCTCGGCCCGCCAGACTCAGCCGCTTTCTCGCTTGAGTCCCAGCAAGAAGCATCGGATGTGCAACTAGTCAACCTGCTATCGTCCATTACAAACTCCGTATCCCTGGCAAAGGATCTCGGCCGGAAGAGCTCCATCGTCGAACATGCCAAGACCCAGGGCAAGAACCGCATGGGCGGGTATGGCGGAGGTGGCAACTACGGCGGCGACGCCAACTTCTTCAATACTGTCATGAGCGGAGATTCTGGTGGCGACAGGTGGTGATCCCTGTCGATCCACCAGCATGAATGAACGGGTACGTTGGAGTCTATATTAGTCTAGAAACGAGTACCCTGAGCTAACGCAGACTTTAGGTTATTTACGTTGCTGATGGTGTTCTAGATTGGCAAGGCGACGGAGCGTATGCGCGATGACTAACGGCCGTCATCCCCATGCGCTTTTCGACCCAGACGATATTCCTGACAACTTCGACTGGGAATTTGTCAACCAATGGTATCATGCCGTGTTCGCGATTCTCAGCATGGGGCCAGCTTATCTGCTCTTGTTTATAGTGAGCCCGATCATGTTCCCACTAATTATACTGGGGCTATGTTACTGGACAGGGTGGGGGACGTATCGGATCGTACGCAGATTGGGTCTGGCGACCTTGCACATGCTGGGGGCTGTTTTACACGCTTTACGTGATCTGATGCGTTTAGCTCAACGATGAGATTTATGCATAGCGTTCGGCGCATGAGTGGGATTTGATAGACTTGGCTATGAATGGCAGTGCGTAATGGACCTGCCGGTATATGAGTAACGAAGAAAGGTACATCCATTCACACCAGTATCCAGAGCTTTTTGGCGCATTGATCAAGGGAAATTCTGAAACCCTGAAGCCTACATTGACGCTAGAGGGTTCTGATCTGCTTGTTTTGTCCTGATGTAGGCTACGGACCTGTTCGGTATGAGGTGCCAATAAGACATAGCCCACCTCATGCTGATCTGTGAACGCCTTCAACTCCTAATGCATCGGCCCTTGGCGACCTTTACAATCTTATTGAAACCACCCGCTGCCTCCTCCTGGTCTTCCACCACCACCACCACCCGCCCTCACCATCTGGGGTTCAGCAATGAACCTCCCCTCTGGTCCTTCGAACGCGCTCGCCTCCCACCGCGAAACAAGGAGCGAGTCACTGTAATACTTGTCTCTGTTAGCATCTTCTTGCAGTCGCTTCTTGAGGAACTTGCGTTGTTTGTTGTAAGCTGTGCGTGTTGAGTTGGGACTTGGTGGTGTTACGGATCGATCAGGTGTCGATGGTGGAGGGACGAAGGTTGACGGAGTAGAAGAGTTTGATTGTGTTGTATCAGGAGCGTCCGAAGGACCATCTACCCACATGTGAGGTGGCCTGGTCGGTATGCAAGGGGTCGAGGCGGTTGGCGGATCGTTAGAGATGTTGAGGCTGCTAAGGATCACGCTCAGATCCTCGATCTCGGAGTCTGATTGTCTTTGTGGCTCCGTAGGCTCGTTCACGACTACCCAGAACGCGTCGATTATGATTTTTCTCTGCTCCTCTGCGTGTTTTTGTTCCATACTGAAACCATTCATGCTGATTCTCGAAAGCTTGGACGACGCCGAGGCTTCCGGCCCCCATGCGATGAGATCGTTGTCGCCGATCTGTGACGTAGTGTTCTCTTCTTGAGATCTAGCAACGACGCGAATTCCGCCCTTCTCGCTATCGTTGTCGGTGGCGTTGTCGCTATTGTCCCAGCTCCAACCATTCTGGTCGAAGTCTAGATCTCCGGCCGTGGGTTCCATCTCTTCTGGTGAAAAGTGGTTGAAGATCCAGCTTCCATCGTCGTCATCGAGTGGGTGCGAGTAGTCGGTACTGACAGGGTGAATTGGATCGGTGCTCGCAATGTAGTCGCCATCGTAGTCGTTCGCATCCATTTCCGTCCAGTCCTTGTTGTGCTTCTTCGGATCGACGACGTCTTCCGGTCGTACTTCCTGGGTCAGGGGCGAGCGAGCCGTCTGATGATAGGTAATGCTTACCCGCGACACGCTTTTCTTAAAAGCGTGTGAGGGTATCTGCATGTTACGTGCATCCCAGGAAGCTACATAGTACTGCTCTTCAAGCTCCTTGACTAGAGCAGTGATGTCCTCCACTCCATGCATCTGCTTCTCGGTTAATTTGATTAAGAACGCTCTCGCCCGCCCTAGCTTGCACTCCCAGTTGCTTTCCCACAATTTGTGCTCGCAGGGACTGCAGTCGGTCTGAACATATACAGTGAGGAAGGATTCGGCAGTACAAGCAGCTCGTATGCTAGTTCTCGTCATCTTGTGTTTAGTACCCTTGCAGCGCGATCTTCGTAAACGTAGTAGATGCTGGCATTCGAAGAAGAAGTGAATGACGTTGCACATGGTAGGCGAGTATTGTGACTGAAGATGGAGCCTTGACTTCGTGTATGAATGAGTTGAGTTGGAGATCCTTGTGGATGTATCATTTAGAACGGCATAATGATGGAGATGTTCTGGCGGGGAAGATAGAACTTGCACAGCTCGGTGTTAGCTCCTTGCACAATCATGTTGGACGCATGGCTCTCACAGAGTCGGTCGTGGTATGTCGTCAAATCCAACGGGAGCTGCACAGCGATGGTGTATGTGATGCGCCGCCGATTCCGAACTAGGTAGTTTGCAGTGGCCACTCGATCGTGGTAGTTGCCTTCGGAATCGAGAGTAGGTACTGTCGTAACCTCCACACGAAAGCTTGTTGTGTACTCAATCAGCAGTCGGTGTGCGTCTGCAGTCGTGTGATGTTGCTTTGAGGCAGGCGGTCAGTTGTATAGTGTTGCCATAGCTACCACTCAGACACCTCACCAACGTGTGCCTCGAATCGACGTGGAAAATCGGGGACCTTCAGGTAAAGGTGAGGGCGTTGCTGATATGCAGTCAGTCGCTGTCTCGAAGTGACGCCGGCTTCCATACCCATATTGACGGCCAGTAGGATGTAGTGCACACATGTGGCTGGAGATGGACGCTTGCGTGGTTGTTGAACGCAGGTAGGTGTCCAGATCGTAGTCATGGAAGGAGCGCCCAGTCTAACGCAACACATCATTGGTAGTCACGTGTATAGCGCCAACCGACAACTTGGCCTCTTCTCATGCCTGAAATAAAGATGGAGCGCGGACGTCATGCAATTCTGACACTGCAAGCATCGCCATCATGCACTGGCTGTGAAAAACACCAGAAATCTCATTCTATTACCACAATCCTATACCATTATGCAAGAAGAAAAGAAAATGCATCGTACTGA